GGTTGACACGCGAGGACAGCCGCCGGCCGGGTTCTGAGGTCACGCAATACAAGGGGCCACAAAAGGACGCATGCACATGCGCGCGTCACAGCGGCGCGACATGTCAAGCTGAGGACACCACATTATGACTGCTCGCATGGGCCACTAGTGGAGGGGCCAATAGGGACGAAAGGCCGTTGGTCCATAAATACGCTGCCACTGACACGAGGCGGCACACTGCTGCTGGGGACACGAGATTAAGCTGCTGGAGACAGGGGACTCTGTTGTTCTAGACGAGAGACTGCTACCGAGACGAGACCGACGACAGAACACACGCTGCTGACGGACACAGGACAAGCTGTCGGACACACAGAAGACAGAGCGGATATACAAGCAGAAACAGTGACAATAAACGATTATCTGCTTTCCTGTCTACTTTCTCTTCCCAACACGCAGCTGGGGGATATAACCAATGTCAACGTAGGTACACCCAAGGTTATAACAATTTGCTTCCTAACACGTGACTGGGGGCTATAACCAGTGTGGACGCAGGCACACAAGATTATAACACTTGAAATGAGGGTCACGCGTGCACTTCTGGCTAGCCGCGTTAGCCTGCCTATTTGGTGCCCAGGTGACCTTGTCATCGGACCCGAGACTCGGCTTTTGATGCAACCAACCACACGCCCCACAGCCAGACAATCACTCACACACACGAATAGACCTAAGCGACTACAAAGTGAGACCTACATAATCTCTTTCTCGTAGCGTAGAAACCTTTGTGCTTTCCGTTATTCAGCTACGTAAAGGTTAGCAAGCTCGAGTGGCAAATGCTCGGGAAAGGAAAACAGTTACGAAGGAAGAAATTAGTATGTGTCAACCCTGAATGGTGGTTCTCTGCATGAAGCATGCGACCAAGGGCCTCTCTGACCTACCTGACAGGCAGCAGGTGCGACGAGGAACCAGCCAGTGGAGACGGCACTTGGAGGGTGGGTATCGAACTCTGTGCAGAGACCATCAGATTACCAGCACCACCAGCGGAATCCAAGTCCGGTGCTGGCGGCGGGACCGGCGGATTTGAGACGCCACTCACGCTG